CCCTGAGTGTGGGACACAGGGGTAATAGCCTCGCGTTCTGGCATTTCTCCCACGCCCCAGACTGGTACACGTCAGCCACACCAGCAGCCTGGATGTACAGGGAGGGACTGAGCCTCCGTTTAGACCGTGGAGCATCCCTCAGAGGTCTATCAGGGCAGGTTAGATAACAGGGGAGAAGGGGAAGTGGGCCAGGGGAACGAGGGAGGCCGAGGAGGGAACGGAAAGGGCGTTTATCGTGATGAGCCCGACACACATAAAAGATGACAGGGAAGTACTCTGATATTCTTCCCTTTTCAGGTCAATAAATAATTTTTGGCCAAGGCCAAACTACTCTACCTGGCATCACACTTTTTTTTAAACCAGTTTTCCTAGTACAGTCCTTCCCCTCTGAGCTCTTCACTATAGAAAAAAATTGATAAACGTGAGCCAATGTGTGGTCTAGGATCCATCACCAAGTGAGGTCTGTCCCAGGACAGCCAAAGTTCAGGGACTGCAGGGTAGGGACACCAAACATCTGGTCTACAATTACATTTTGTTCTAGGCTAAATGAGACTGTCCAAAGCAGGTGGGAAAATGAATACCATTAAAAGTACCTTTTCTAACATAAATCTGAAGGCCTATAATCTACCCACGAAGATTTAAAATGTGTGATTTGAGGGCCTGGAGGTTCTGTAATATCTCACTCCTCTGCAGGCAGAGTGTAAGAAAAGAGATCTAAGGGGATGGTGTGAGATGAAAGAAATACTTTCTTAATAAAGAAAATAGAATGCCAAAGTGCAATTATATTCTTTGCGGGGGGCTTCAGAAACAGAAAAGGTTTTCATGCCTTTGTGGAGTATGGCTCCCCTGAAGGTAGCCAGTTTCTGTAGGGGCGCAATAATCCCAAGAAACAAGTATCTAGGGCAATTGCTATTTCTTCACCGCTCCTGAGAAAATCAGGTCCTGGTTGTGGATTCCAAAATTTGAAGGCAGAAGTTGTTGGCACTGAGAAAACCCTCATACTCCACCAAGCCCCCTAGAAGAACCAGCAGCAATTCTAAAAACCAGATTCTGAAATCACGAGGGTCGAGGAAATCTATAGCTGCTAGTGCTGAAGGGCAAGGATTTGAGAGTAATGATCTTGAGTCTGAGATTAGAGCTAGTTAAAATCTCATGGGTTATCAGCCTGCAAGAGAAGAAAATAAAATGTAAACAGTGCCCCCCTCCATCCCAACACCCCATGGGTGACAGTGCTTAGGCTCTTATTTGGAAGGCCAAAGATGGGTTTCTGGGGAGTTCTTTGAAAAGCTCCTAAATTTGGAAACAAATTCATAAGCATGCATTTATCTATGAGATATGTATACCGTACATGTATTCTTTTGGTGTTTTAAGTAGACTTTCTTGAGGTCCATGAGACTGGCAGGTTAAAACCTATAGGCTTATAGAATTTCTATTTGAAGGAAGGTTGTTGAAATGACCATCTGGGTCACAGGTGCAAGGGGACGTGTGTTAGGGTATAGGTGGTCGAGAACAAGCCAGCCCCTTGGCATCCCCACATCAATTTAAGCAGGAACTTTCTCCCTGGGTTAAACCCTTGTTTTCAGACTCCCACCTCTTCAAGTCTGGCCTCTCCAACCATTGGATGATACACCATTACATTCTCTCTAAGGCGCTTTTGGTCATGACTTCCCCTCTGCACATCCAGCCTAGCATGGAACCCATGACCACCTACTTTCTGAAACTTCACCTAGGCAACTGCAGTGTCCTCTGAACACACTTTCCCTTTGCAGTTGTCCTCACTGGCAGTCATTTCTCCTCTACTGCTTATTGGACCTTGCCTTCCAGATCCTTCAAGAATCCCTGGTCCCTTCCCATACCTTGCATATGAGGCCTTCCCGAGAGCGCTGGACAGGGCTCTTTCTTTCTCCCCTTCTGTATTTTTGAACACGATACAGTACACTTTTTCCCTATTCTCTACCCCAGAAGGGCTAAGATGGAATAAAGTCTTTGGTCTCTGGCTCCTTCTCCCAGCTCAGTGGGAAAAATCTCTGGCCCCGAAAAGTGAGGAGGGAGAAAATCTCATGCTAAGAAAAACGTCACAGAAGCAATATTGTTAGCTGAGAGCATGAACTCAAGTTGCCAGACTGTTTCCCATCCTGGCCTCCGTTTCCTCAGAAAGGCAGTAACTTAACAGGGTTACAGAGAGAAAAGAACGCACGTGAAAGTCATAGTGCCTGCCCCAAAGTGAGCTCTGAATGTTAACTTGTGTCATTAAACTGAAGTTTATTCTGTGAGATGGTTAACAGCCATCTCAGATGTCCAGAGAGGTAGGTGTACACATGCAGGTGGGCTACGGGGTTAACAGATGGTTAACAGATGTGTAATGTGTTAACCCTGTGGGATCCACCGTGCATCCTCATAGGGTAGCGTCCTTCATCCTTTTAAGGTAGCAATGATTTCCCTGTGTTTAGATAAGGGTGAGATTAGGTACCTTAGCCACGGTCTCTGATACCTTAAAAGGCCAAGCCACCATTTGCCATCTATTTAATTCTAGAGTCCATGTCCTTAAAGCTACATCTTTTTTTTTTTTTTTGGATAATTGAAGTCTCTGAGCCTCATTTTCCACTTTTGAAAAAGAACCAGGGAGATGACGCCCTCCTGGCCTGTGGGAGGATGGTGTAAAGCTGCACAGCACCTGGGGGATGCACCGAGCGCTCGGGCAACTATAGCTGTTATGAACCTCTTCGCCTCAGACCACTTTCCCCCTCTGCTCATATCCCATCTGCCCCATTTCTTCCTGTTTTCCTCTTCCCTATTACAGGAAACAGGATGGGGGAGGGCAGCAAACAGCCACCCCCAGCTCAGGGATGGGGTGTAATTTTAGAAAATCCCCTGGCAGAGGGGACAGAGCTCTGAAATTCAACCTGATACCCTTATTCAAGGGTGGGGCAGGAAGGACGTGGAATCCAGCTCAGCATATGCTGCTCTCTAATCCCCAACACACCGGCCTCCCAAACTCTTTCCTTCCACTATTCCAGTGCCCCTCCCTGGGGCTGTGTCTCCACCTCCCACCCCTGGAGAAGGTCCCCGGGTCCAGCCCGCTCCGCAGGTCAGCGCCCCTCCTGCACCCAGTGATGTTTCAGCCCAGCTTCATCCCTGTTAACCCTTCCTCCTCTGGACTCCTGGACAAGCTTCCTTCCCCCAAGGTCCACAGCAGCTTCCTACCACAATGCTCCAACAGAACGTGTTAGCCCCCCGTAGCCCATCTGCATGCGTACACCCACCTCTCTGGGCGTAGACACATCACACACCGAGAACTCCCAGGTTACACAGCCCACTGCTTAGACCTCTTCCATGCTGCCCGAGAATTCTCTTACGACCTATGCCCACCCTGGAAAACCTTAAATCCAAATTGGATCACGTGAGATCGGAAATTCTAGGATCCTCATCCTATTCTAGCTCAACCTGTTTCTCCAGCCTCCATCCCATAATCTAAGCAATCCAGAACTAACGCTGCTTGCCAGTGACTCTTCCATCTCTTCTGACCATGAGGAGTCCCAGTGCTGGTAGCCATATTTTGGGGTTGCCTGTGGCCATGACAATGGAGATGGGCTCATCCAAGGTGTGGATCTGGTTGTATAAAAAAGATCTGGCAGGGCTTCCCTGGTGGTGCAATGGTTGAGAGTCCGCCTGCCAATGCAGGGGACACAGGTTCGTGCCCCGGTCCGGGAGGATCCCGCATGCCGCGGAGCGGCTGGGCCCGTGAGCCATGGCCGCTGAGCCTGCGCGTCCGGAGCCTGTGCTCCGCAACGGGAGAGGCCACAACAGTGAGAGGCCCGTGTACTGCAAAAAAAAAAAAAAAAAAATCTGGCAGCAAAACAAGAGGTGTTCGGCTCTGGGTATGCCTTGTGAGGTGGTGAGGAACGCTGTAAGAAGCTAAGGCAATGGAAATAAGTGGGCTTTAGACACAGATTATCTACAGCTACAGAGACGTCAGGCACACATCGGTAATAAATATGAGTGTTTATTTGGCACCAGATGGCAATACAAAATCCTGGCAGTGGGAAGAGGAAAGGTTCTGTCACCCAAATACTTCCATACGATACTGAGCCAAGGGCAGGACTTGGCAACAAGTCTCCGAAGCCCTGCAGAACAAGTATTCACTGAGCACCTGAGCCACGAGAGGCTGAGCACTGTGCCCGGAACCACACGAGGTGTGGAAAAAGTTGTCCTACGTGTGACTTCTGTCTTCAGGAGCTAATAATACGAGTGGATAAAACAAAACATGTGGGAAAATACAGAGTACAAATACTAAATTGGGTATTTTGCCAAAAGGGAAATTTTGTCAAAAAGTAGGAGTCTAGCTAGGGTCGCTTCCTTCCTTCCGCAAACATTTATTGAAGATCCAAGACATGTCAGGCACTGGGTACACATTAGTGAACAAAAGAGACAAGGTTTCTGCTCTCATGGAGCTTAAAGTGGAGACGGGAATGAACAAGTGAAGCACGCTAATTGATGATTACGCATTGTGATAAGTGCAATAAGGGGGATTAAACAGGACACAGTAATAAAGAAACATGATTCTTAGAGACAGAATGGCCTGGGAAGACCTCCACAACAGGGTGGCATTTAAGCTCAGACTTGAAGGATAAAGAAAGAAGCCACCAGAGACAAGAGTGGACTCAGTGGACCCAGGAGTGTCTGATGGCCTCGGGCAGGAAAGGCCTCAGAATGTCTGAGAAACTGAGGACAGCAGTGGGTTACGGGGAAATCAGCACTTAGTGAGGCCCTGCAGGCCAAGGTAAAGAGTCTGGATTTTATTTGAGGTGTGATAGGAAACCAGAGGGTTCCAAGCAGGGGAGTAACAGCATCAGATTTATACTTAAAAACCCAAACCAATGGGCTTCCCTGGTGGCGCAGTGGTTGAGAGTCCGCCTGCCGATGCAGGGGACACGGGTTCGTGCCCCGGTCCGGGAAGATCCCACATGCCGCGGAGCGGCTAGGCCCGTGAGCCATGGCCGCTGAGCCTGCGCGTCCAGAGCCTGTGCTCCGCAACGGGAGAGGCCACAACAGTGAGAGGCCCACATACCGCAAAAAAAAAAAAAAAAAAAGAATAGGGAAGTTTCATAAAAGCACAGATAAAGATGGCTTCTAGGGTGAACAAATAACATATATAGCAGTGGTCTCCCTGAAATGGAAAGTCATAACAGGAAGGGGAAATAGGCCACATAAAATCAAGAGGGGATTTAATACTGAAGCAGAAAGAGGGAACAAGGTACTATACATCGCATCCTTGAGCAGCCAAATGATCCAATTAAGCAGTATTTTAGAGCTGGTGGCAGCAGTAAACAGGATGAGACGAAGGGGAAGAGGGGAAAACAGGAAGCAGGGAGATAACTAGGAAGCTTTTATAGAGGGGACACTTCATAGGAAGAAAAACGAGGGTAAGGTGACAGGTTACAGAGTACGAGCAAGCATGCCGCTCTTATCTGCCTCTGCTGACACTCCCTGCAGGGCTCAGTTCAGGTACAAAGCACGGAGAAAGGACAGCCAATGAGAAGATCTTTGAAACTTCCATGGGCAAAGATCAACAGGCAACAGATACAAGGCAACCAAACCCTAACCTCTGCTGAACGCTGGATTCCCTGAGCCCTAAGGAGCCGAGAGCGGAGTTGAGAAGGCAGTCCTTCCGGGGGGTGACATTCTGGAACCGAAGGGAATGAATGCACAGGTACGGGCCCACCCACAGCAGCAGAGTGACTCCTGTCCTGCTCGGCCTTTTGAAACCAAATGAAAAAGGTCTATGTTAAACCAGGACACCTTCTAAACTCTCACTCTGAGACAAATGGGGCGGAGATGTGACAGAAAAGATGGGAGATGACCTCTGAGACATCTCAACTAAAGTAATAAAAGCAATCACCAAACGCTTCCTACAAGAGCCCTGGGGGCAGAAACTGAACACAAACATGGAGGAAACCCACATGCCCTCTCCCCATCGAGACACTATGTTCGTAACATCACTTGCCAGGTCCCTCAACTGAGGCCAAGCGCTCCAGGCAACAAGTCCAGCCGGAGCTGGCTCCACAGGGAGAGAGCCTCCCATGGGAGTAGCCGGCCTGTAGTCCGAGGTCAAAGATGGAGACGATGGGCGTGTGAAATGAGCCTGGGATATTCCCAATCCCTGAGGGGGATGGACAGAAACCGTGCGTCCTGGAGACAGGAGGCTCTATCACACCTCCCGTGGTCCAGCGGCCTCCCTGTGGCACAGGTGATGGGAGGCGGCATCACGTGGGAGGGTGTCCCGGGAAGAGATAGAGGTGGTGGCACAGAGTGCTACAGTACTCGGACATCTCCTTGCATCGGTGGAACTCCGTGCCCGGGGCGTAGCCTTCACGCTCCTTGATGAGCGCGTTCACCTGCAAAGGCAGAAACCCAGGGCCCACGGCTTGAGAATCAGGTGTTTCCATGATCCCAGAAGAGGAAGGGTAGGGAGACTGTGAAAAACAGGGCAAGGGCGGAGGAAGGTAGAACAGCGCGGGGACGTAGAAGGTTCCTGGCGCCACTGAGCCGACTTACCTCCACGAGCATGTCGGCCACATGCTTGTCACAGGCCCTCTCACAGAACACCTGAGTGAGGGCCTCCACGTACCAGGAGCCCCGCTTGGTGTTGCGCATGGCAGCGGTCCCTGCAACCAGGACAGCAGTGAGCACACAGGGAAGGTCCCGGGCACCCTCACACAGCTGGACGGACCCGCCGACACCCGCTCCCTCTGCAGTCAGAGAGAGACGCCACCTTCTGGATCTCTCCTTTGGAACTCACGATACCTCTGAGGCAGGCATAGCCACAAATCATGTCCGAGCGAGTGGGGAGTCGCATCTTCAGCCCCTCCTCTTTACTGGCATCGCTCTCCTCGCACTCGGGGGATCGCTCATGGTTCTTCCCGTCTTGCTGGTCGACCCCACGATCCGTTTCATCTGTACAAAGGCAGACGGAGTGGACAGAGATGTTATTTCCTCTCTTGGGCCTGTCACAGGCAAGCCCGAGTTCCCTGCAACCTTGACTGGGAAGAACCATTTCCAGCTGTTACCTCCAACCTGTGGCTGATGAATTAAAAAACAAACAAACAAACAAACAAACGAACACCATTACTCCCATTCCTCTGCCAGAGTACACCGATCACACAGAGGGTGCCCATGACAGGCTGGACACCGTGCCCAAGCACATGCACATATACACAGTCCGAGCTCTGTCCGCGCTGTGTAAGACAGGGCAAGTGCTGAATCAAATACTCCTCGTAAACAGAATGAAAAGCCATCTGTGTCCATGATTCACTTGTTCCATTGTCAATATTCCTGGAAGTCAAAGCGCTCCTTATTGCAATACACAATAAAATATTGATATATTTAGTTTTATTATGTAAAAAAAACAAGAAACCAAAAATATTACTACACTTATGCCATATGAAAACTACAACCTCAAATCTACCTATCAATAAACAAATTATAAAACTAAGCATGATCAGCTGTTTTCAGGGTGTTTTGGGTATTTTAAAATCACTTATTATTAATTTCATAAGCCAAATTGTAGCTGGCATGCAAAATTTAAGAGAAATTTAAAGAAACTTAAAATTGGGATAATTTGACTATTTCTCCTACACAATGTAAAAAGAACACTATTATTCAATATACAGATTCTCAACATACCCTGAGCACACATCCAACCTCCTGACCTAGGCCTTATCTACCCCAAGACATGTTCTCTTTCTGATGCTGTTGTCGTGGGGGCGGTAGGAGAGACACAGGACACACGGCCGTCACGCCGAAGGTGAAGGAGTAAGTATGCTTTCTTACACCTCCCTCTCCATAGGACCCCCAAGACAGCCTGAAATGGGAGTGAGGCTTGAAGGTCTGTGCAGAAAATGACCAAGATTCACTGATCCAATAAAAATTTACTGAGCAACTTCCATATGCCAGGCACTGTTTTTGTTTGAGGCCCTATGGATATAGTGAAGAAAAAGTCCCTGCCCTTCTGGAGCTTACACTCCAGTTTAGGAGCCAGTCATCCGGGGTGGGGCGGTCCTTCTAACAGGCATCAATTATGTTAACTGAATAGAGCGGAAGACAGTTGAGCTCAGGCTTTCAAAGGAAGAGCTGGCTACTGGTCATGCCTTGAAGGATTTAATTGTAGAGAGAAGATTCACGTTAGCCCAGAAGAGAGCAATTCTTCCCTATCCAGGTCTAGTATTTGTATATAATCTCTGAACGTAGGAGGAGAAAATGATCATGAACATGTTTATTTCCTTTTACTTTGCTAGTGACATCTCCTAAAGGAAATAGGCCAAGCTGAATGTGTCCCTCAAGAGAAAGGAGCCTCCTCCCTTGTCTTTGTGTCTCAGATCTATTAATCAATAAATGTTTTTTTCACAGTATCCCCATATGTTTTTTATATTATTGCTACGCTTTTTAGGCAGATTAATTTCCATCCATTCATTCAATATTTATGAAGAGCTACTACATATCAGGTAGTGCTCTGAGCCTGGGGATACAGCAGGTGCATAAAAAAGTAAGTTCCTGCCTGCACATACTCTTTTCTTAGCACTTTTCCCTGCCGTGGTAATCGTCCTGAAAAAAAAAATTTATCGCATTATTTCTTACTTAAGCTCCCAATAGCTCTGTACTATTATCTGTCAAAGTCCAAAGTCCAAAATCTGGGCTGTAGCTAAAGGTATGTGATCACGTGGTCAGCCACAGCCCATTACATATGCCTGATGCAGATGCGCCGTTTTTAAATTAGATTCAGGCATACTTCTGGCTCAGCACACCTTTTTTTTGGGTGGGGGACGGGGATATCTTTTTAATCTTGGTATGCTTGTCATTGCATTCCCCCCTTTTCCCTGAAAGGATCTATCTGTTACTCCGCACCCATGTAAAAAATGTATTATTTGAATGCTTGGACAAAGTGACCTTTAAATCAAACTACAAGCCCCTTAGGGGCACGGATCACGTCCTAACAGTCAGAGCTGGTACTTTCCGCGGATTTCCTATGGGCCAGGTACTGTGCTAAGTAAGTCCTTCATACGAACCATTTCACTTAAGCATCACAACAGCCTGACCTTATGAAGTAGGTCTGATGATTATCTACATTTTATACTGAGGAAACTCAGGTGCAGGGACATCGAGCAACTTCTCTAACCTGACATAACTAGCCAGTGGTAGAGGCAGAATTTGACTCCACATTTAGAGCTTTTAGTTATTACTGTTTTCCTCCAAGATGAGAGGCAGGCCTCCATGTCTTCTGAGCCTAGTCGGGGAGTCCTGGCTCTTCAAGGGGTAAAAGGGACTGCGTGCAAGAAAGAAGAGGGACGGCAGCAGCTCACGGAAGAGCACGAGCCAGAGGCTGACACGGGGCTTCTGCACTGCTTTCCTGCGTGACACGTGAGTGACACAGAGAAGGGAGGAGACGAGAACGCAGTGTAGCTGAGACGAGAAGTAAAAGGAGAAGGTGGAAAGGTGGAGGAGAGGTGGAGAAAAAAAAGAGGAAGAGGATAAAGTGAGAGGGCTAGGAAGCAGAGACAGCCGGAAAATCCTTAACTGGAATGAGTAACCAAAAAAGCACATCAGCGTTAATAAGCACAGAAAGAAGGAAGCGTCCTCAGGAAAGAAGGCGAAGACACTGGCAGAGAGCGTCTGCAGGACAGGATGTGGCAGGTGCACAGGGCTGACCAACCTGAGAGCCAGGGGCTGCCCAAGTCCCAGCACACCCCATGCATTGGGAGACACTTACAGAGCAAGAGAGGCGGTGGCAGCAGTGAACAGAAGGAGGTGCCCAAGGGATCCGATAGCACCTGAGAGGAGCAAACAGGAAAGTGAGAGCTGGTGGGAGGCTGCCCAGGAGCCACACCCAGGTGCTGGTCTGCCAGGGCACTCACCTCCACGGCAGGCCTGGATGAAGAACATTTTCGGTTTGTTCTGTAGGCTCGGGCAGTTGGCATTGTCAAACAGCCGGAAAACCTCTTGTAGCTGCCAGAAACAAACAAGGGAGAAGGGAGGTTGGTGGTCAGTGGGACCTCCTGAGTCCTACACGCAACAGCAGCCATCACTGGAGAGAGGGGCAGGCGGGAGGTGAAGCGGCCCAGCTTGCGGAGCTGCGGCCACGGGACGGCACGCACCTGAAGCAGCGTGCCGTCCACGCCATAGACACCGCCCTCCATGCCGTGGGAGAGGAGCGCCACTATGCAGGAGTCCATGACACGGTGAGCGGGTAGCTGGGCAAAATCCCGGAGCTTCTCTTGCATTTCCTAGAAGAAAGACATCTTTCAGCATTGTTCACTAGTCAGCACCAATGTAAGCTTTTCTTCAGTGTCTGAAACCCTAAGCTATTAGAAGGTACAGTGTGTTCCCTACATTCCTGTGGTCAATGGTAAGTGAAGTCAGAGATGCACCAGAAAACTGCATGACTTCAGACAAAATTCTGAATATAATTTTACAATTCACAGGCTCACTGAGGTATGTTAAGAACTCCTGGATTAAAGCAAGTTATTAATGAAGCTAATCATGCACGAGCTAGCTAACTTTATCCATTCTCCAATCATCAACCTGATCCTTCTTCAGAGCATATGCCCTTGTATATAAATGGCACAAGGGGGACCGCCGGGTAAACTGTAACAGCTACAAGAACTGCTGTGTGACAGAGGGCTCACAGGATCGTGAGAGTAGAGAACAGCAGTCCTCCTTTGCTGTTGTCTGTCTGAGAATTCAAGTTCCCGGAGACAGTGATGATGTCTGTATAAAACGCTTTGTCCACGGAAGAACACACTCTATGGAGGATTCTGTACAGGGTCATAACTACATATACGGGCCAAGGGATCAGAGAGACCTCAGCTGGATCCCTAGGTTCATAAATTAGAACAAGTTATTTAGCCCCTCAAGCCTCTAGTACCCATTTTGTAAGACAATTAAGCGTACATTTCCTCCAAGTTTGTAAAGATTAAATGAGATATGGCATAGAAAGGACTTATCACTATGTCTGGCACGTACTGCAAAGATCTGCCATTACAATGTGCTTGTCTAATGAAGGGTAACAATATTATTTTTTCAAAGAAACCGTGTAGTCTAACTTAAGAATCTTTTTGATCTTGCACTAGACTGCCATATATGAATAACACTCTAACTGAAGCATTATACCTAACAGTACAATAATATGATACCAACTTTTAAACCTATGTCTCCCTCTACAACTCAAGATGTCTGGATTGTCTCTGAGAGGAGCAGAGAGAAAACAGGCTCATTTTACTATGAACTTGATCAAAATATAATGAAGAATATTTTATCTAGGCAGAACAGTTACAGTGCACATATATCTAACAGTCCATACACAGCCCCCAGTAAAACACACACTTGTGTAATACATTGCGGTGGTTCTCCAAGTGCGGCCCCTAAAACAGCAGCATCGGCATCACCGGGGAACCTGTAAGAACTGCAGAGTCTTGGCCCCCAGCAAACTGTGTTTTCACAAGCCCTCCAGGTAATTCTGATGTGCTAACGTTTGACAACTGCTTATCTGTTTGGAACAGTTCTGTTTGCACATAATTGAGACTTAATAAGAGACTTGAAAGTCTGCAATTTCACTGGGAATGGAGAAACTGGATGTGCTGAAAGAGCATGTGTATTTTCTGAGCAAAGAGAACCCAACCATAATACTGGAGATCTTAAGGTAATAAAAGATATCCAAAATTCATTCATTTTAAGAATATATCATCTCAAGAGCCTACTGCCCCTCTGGAGTTGACTGTAACAGAATTTAACATGTAATAGGTGAAGTTCATTTTGCTCCAAGGAGGGAATAAATATACAGGTTAGGCACTCAGGAGCATTTTGCACTTAAGTGAGATTACTAGGTCAGTAAATAAAAGACAACAAAGCCCAAAGTTAAGAACACATGGGCTTTGTAACTGAATTTAATAAGATTAAACCATTCAATCAATGGGGGTTAGTCATTTGGGGAAATTTTTCCGAAAGTAGCGTAGCTTAAAATAGGATCTCTAGATCTATTTCTGATAAACTTACAGAACTTCTATAAATAGCGGGGCTCTTAACACTTCCAAGTGTTTTTGACTGGGGGACACAGAAGAATAACCTGTGAACTCCCTGAAATGATACCCCAAATTTTACTGGCAGCTGTATTTTCCAGAGATGACCCATAGCTTGCCCCTATACCCTCAAATCCGTATGTGACCAAATGCAAGTTACAAACCAATACCACGACATGGTGAAAGGAAACCTGCCACTTTAAAGTGTATCTCATTTCCTAATATACAATAAACTGTAATTCTAGAACTAGTAAAACTCATGAGGTAGATGCAAGAAGAAAAGACTCTGATGAGGAACAGAAGCACTGAACACCTACATGAGTGGTGAGGATAATAGCGTGCTCTCCAGCACTGTCAGGCAAAATGGTTCTCTGAGACTACACTGTCTCCAATTTTTCAATGGAATTATCTCTAAAGCAAAAAGGAATAATATGGGGAGAAAAAGAGGATCTAAATTTTCTTGGTTTTGTCTCTTTGCTCACCAAATAATTATATAAAAGACTTGAGGGACTTCCCCTAAGGTCCAGTGGATAAGACTCAACGCTTCCACTGCAGGGAGCACAGGTTCAATCCCTGGTCGGGGAACTAAGATCCTGCATGCCTTGTGGCATGGCCAAAAAGTTTAAAAAAAAAAAAAAAAAAGAATTGAGCCCCTTGAGATGTTCTATCAGAAAGATAGTATCGTGTACAGATGCCTAGCGCACCAAATTATCACACCCACTGTCGCTACCTGGTTTTAACTGCATCTGAAAGTTCAATTGGCCACTGTCAGAACTTGATCCTGCAATGTCCTCTTCCTGTTTCTGAATCTCCAGAGCTGAGGACTAGCATACATGGAGGGTGATATCCCGAAGGTTCAGTCCTAGCCCTTTTGCTTTTTCTCAAAGATCATAATCTCTCATTACTTGAAGTCTTTTTCCTACACAAGTAGTTCCCAAATTTACATCTTTGGCCCTGACTTCCTCTGAGGCCCTCAATTCCTTACGTTCTCCATCTTCTTCCATAGGTAGTTATTTAATCACAAAGCAATGACAGTACAATCATGCCATTATACTATTTTTCACATATATTCTTTTCTTTTTGGTCCACTATCCCGTCCAGGCCCCCACCATCTCATACTGACATTATATTAACCCCAAACTGTATTCCCTGCCACTGGTCTCTACCTCATTCATTACTGTCATATTAATCTTCCTGAATCATCATTGTGAATGCGTCACCTTTCTATTCAAAAACCACTAACGATGTGCTAATGTCAACACAAGGAAGTCCAATTCCTTCGGGAAGACATTCAAGGCCCTGTGCATTCTGGTCCCTTTTTCTCCAATCTCGTTGTTGGAACTCCTGTGCCCTAGACCTTTGGTTCACCCACAAGGTCCCTAACACACACATTTCTAATCTGTATGCTGTTCTCCCTGTGTAGGACCCCTTCACTCCTCCTTTCTTGCCTCAGTAGCTTCCATCCTTCATGGGCAGCTTAAGTCTTACATCCTCCACTTATCCTTCTGACCACATCTACCCAGGTGATGGTTTCTTCCTCTTAACTACTGTAGAAGACACTGTCTCTAGTCTTTTGTTGTCCTTAGGAAATAAGGGGATGTGCCTCTTTTTTTTTTTTTAAACTGATGTCAAGACTCCCTCATCTAACTGAGGTCCCTTGAACTCAAGGTCCACATTAAAAAAAATCTCTGGCAGCTAACATAGTTGCCCCCCGTTATAAGGTGCTCAAAATTGAACTCCACTGCAATTCAAGTTATAGAACAACGTAACCAGAGAATCAGAATCCAACAGGTCCTGGAATCTGCATCAGGGAATGGCATTTGTGAAATGGGCCCATAGGCCCATCAAAGTTACCGTCTCTAAGATAAGAATCAGTAGTATACAGCTGACCTGGTGCTTAGTGATGTATCTTTAACTATCAAGCACATAAAATCCCTTACCAACTGCAAAAAATTTGGAAAACCGTGACATAATAAATTCCTAGTAAAAAAAAAAAAGGACTAGACCAAAAGCTGTAAAGAAATGTAAATCGCATTCATTTTGTTAAGTGACCTTCTAATAGGATTCCCTCTGTAAGAATTACAGCTGTTGTCCCACCTTTATTCCCTTCATGCCCAGCAGATCTCTCAGGAAAGCATATAACCTACGTGAATACTTGATGTAGAAAGGAGCTGTTCCAGCCATGGCTTTGAAGCAAGGGTGGGTTTACTTCTTTGCCTGAGCTATTATTGGGAAGCTGGTAATAGCATGTAAAGAACAACATTCAGGTCCCTACCAATGAATCTGGCCTTACCCCAAATTTAGCAAATACACAATTATTCTCACAGAAGCAAGACAGCTGAGAAATAGAAATGAAGACCACAGACAATGCTGACCACCCTACCTCAATAGACCAAAGAGAATCTTCTAGAAACCTTAATTTTACCATGGATATTCCCAAAGGCAAGTTTAGGAAAGCACTATTATTCTGAATCAAAATAAAGAATTAGTATTAATTTACCAATGGACTATTTTCAATTTCAAAACAGAACTACCTAAAGGTAACAAAGTCAGTGGTACAGCTCGGTAACTGAGGCTGAAGGGGACTAACTCCTAACAAGAATGCTTATGACCTGCAGGAACCTAGCTCAGAAGTAATCTACGCTAAGATCTGTCTTGTGGCCACACAACTGATAAGAATAGGTTATGTTAGGGACTTCCCTGGTGGCATAGTGGTTAAGAATCCGCCTGCCAATGCAGGGGACATGGGTTTGAGCCCTGGTCTGGGAAGACCCCACGTGCCGTGGAGCAACTAAGCCCGTGAGCCACAACTACCGAATCCCGCACACCTAGAGCCCGTGCTCTGCAGCAAGAGAAGCCACCGCAATGAGAAGCCCGTGCACCGCAACGAAGAGTAGCTCCCGCTCGCTGCAACTAGAGAAAGCCCGCGCGCAGCAACAAAGACCCAACACAGCCCAAAGAAAAAAAAAAGAATAGGTTAATTCATGAAATGACCACAAAACAGTATTTACCAGGACAATTCTAGCAAACTTTCATTTGTAAGAATTTTATCTGCCAACGTAATCTTGAGAATTGGACTCCTAGGCAGCAACGTCAACCAAGAAGTCACTGTCCTGTGTAACCCTGACTTATAAATATCTTTTCTTAGTTGGTTGGGTGCATATCAGTATCTCACCTCCTGAGGGACTGGGAATCAAGTTGCTGAGCATGTAAAAGTGAGAACCCGACCCTGGACTATTCTTACTCAGGGAGCGCACAGCCACCCTGAGAAGTCAACACCCAGGCAGCTGGCTGGCCTGAATCCTTTCTCTCTTTTCTTTTGTTTTCTTTTTATTATTTATTTTTTGGCTGTGTTGGGTCTTCGTTGCTGCGCACGGGGTTTCTCTAGTTGCGGCGAGCGGGGGCTACTCTTCTTTGCGGTATCCGGGCTTCTTATTGCAGTGGCTTCTCTTGTTGCGGAGCATGGGCCCTAGGCACACAGGCTTCAGTAGTTGCGGCAGGCGGGCTCAGTAGTTGTGGCTCGTGGGCTCTAGAGCACAGGCTCAGTAGCTGTGGCGCACGGGCTCAGTTGCTCCACTGCATGTGGGATGTCCCCTGCATTGGCAGGCGGATTCTCAACCACTGCGCCACCAGGGAAGCCCTTTTATTTTATTTTTTTAAAACTAGATTGCAAGATGGGCGGCAGGACACAGCAAGTTAAAGGTAGGGAGAGAACATAACTCTAGTGAGGCACAACCCAGCAGGCAGAGGAGCATGGACGTTTCTGGCCCCCAAGTGTTGTCCCGTTCTCTAATGCACACGTCAGCATGTCCTGCCTCGGGTACCTGTGCAGTCTGGTCAAGAAGAACATGAACTTTGTAGCCCAAGAGCTTGAAGAGGGTGACTAGAGTGCTGTGGTCCACATCCCCTCCAGAGCGGAATTCCAAGTCTTTCTCGCCAGTGAAGTGCACGTTGCTCAGCACCAGTGCCAGGCCACGAGGCCGAGACTGCAACCTATAGGCCTGGGGAGGGGAGGCCGATTAGACCGTGAGCTTCTTGAGGACAGAAACTATGCCTCCCCCACTAGACGAGGCATTTCAAGAAAACACAGACATCACGTTCTTCTTCTTAATCCCACCAGGTCAAGTATAGAAATACCCACAGAACACATTCAATCAGCAATTACTTTCTGACTAATAAAGGCAGGAAAGAAATGTATATACACAAACTAAGTTCAGATGCCCAGGAAGGTTATCTCATTTCCCAACGCTTTTCCTCTTGCCATTTTGCAAGACTCACCAGCTGGTAGTGCGCTTGATAAAACTCAGGAGTGCAAGACTTCACCTGAAGGCCGGGAGGCCCATCTCCATGGTCTAGGGAGTGTTCCACTGTATCTGCGGCATATAGAGCAGAAAAGCTGGCGCACAACCTACACAGCAATCCTAGTGCTTCACTGTAACTTCAGGCACCCTTTTCGTAATTACTGGTCTGGCTCACGACCCTTGTCTGTAAGCTCTATGGGGGCAGAGGCCCGGTCTGCTTTTGCTCATCACTGGATCCTCTGCACTTAGCCTGCGTACAGCAGTAGGTGCTCAACTCAGTGAACGACTGAATGGGGTATATGATAAAACCCTTGTTCTACTCACTAGGCTACTCAATCAGCAGGGTAGAGGCCCATGACGTAGTCTTTCCTCATCGTAAAATAACTAAGCTTTACAGAGGAGATAGGCCAATTATGCGCAGGAACTTCCCACCTGCACAAGTTGCTCCAAGGGCCGGTCACCATTAAAAAACCATCTATGACGGAAGAAGAAAAACAGGCCCAACCCAGAGCCCATCTGAACTGTCCTGCTGGTCCCTAACAAATTCACTGAGGAAACCGTTCCAATAAGAACGAAAATAGGTTTCACACTGGGGCAAAGTCAGACGCCAGTCAAGGAAGCGGAAGTCGATCTGCGGGACCCATTTTACGCCATCAGTTCTCACCTGGCGACAGGCGGCGCTGCTTGCGGGGGGGGCAGGACTCACACACCGGGAAAGGGAGACGCAAGTGGTAGTCGCAGCTCAACTGTAAGAAAGCAGGACCCCCCGTACCAGGCCTTAGGGAGCTGGTCCAGCCCAAATAATACAGAAATCTAGTCCCGTTCCCCACTTCACCAGTCTCAAAAATGCCCTTCCCACCAAACCAACCCTTCCCAACACACCACGTGTCTAGGGCTCCATACCGGTGGGAGTAGGTGCTGAAGACCAGCCAGGGTTGTGAGCAACAGGTCCTCCAGGTGACCCTGCTTGGTCTCCCTCAGGGCCACACAGAAGGCATCAAAAGCCTGGGGGCCCCTCTTGGGCAGCAAGTTGAGGAGTTCCACATTCTGGCTGAAACTGCACACCTTGGCCTACAATACAAGAATAAAACATGACATCACATTTACTTATCCAGCTGTAATTCTGTTTCTCCAGATGAGCTTCCTAGTAACAGCATCATCCATCTCAAGAACTCCTTTTACAGAAAAATATGTACGTGGGAAGTCCTTCCCCCATTATTCTGGAATTATATGTGTTTTCTGTTAAATGCTCTAGGGTAGAAGAGCATTTTCATTTCCTTAGTAAAGCACTACATCTTTTTCACACTTTACTATGCTCTGTTCCTCTTCCTACCACTAATATATTTACTTGGTTTTTCTCTTTTGCCTTCAGATACCTGAATGTGCTCCCTCATTTCCAAGGTGATAATGTCCTTCTCCAGGAGATGTTCTAACAGTTCGCTCAGCAACAGCTGTTTGGCCAGCACCACTCGGTTCTTTTTTAGAGCTTCCTGATGGTCAGGATGCATGCCATACACTCCCAGTATCCTACAGATAGAAGACAGAAAAGCTGTCAAGTACAAGATCTGGCACAGAGAAGTGGAATGGAAGAGGTGTGGGTAGGAGAAAGATAAAGAACAGGACTTAACGATAACTAAAATGAGACATATTTTATTGAACGTGCTTAAAATCATAGAAGTATTAAGCAGTAACACACTGATCATAAGGAAATGATATACAATCCTTTATGGAGGATGTTCAACTGAGACCATCTTCTGAGATGAATGGTCTGACGAGGGGAAATATCTATCGTGACAAAAATAATACACACATGAGTAGACATACAAGAAGGAATATTCCTCCATCTGACCGACCAATTTTCATTAAGGAGTATTCCAGAAAACATTTCACACTATTTATCTAAGCTGCTGACAGTGATATGAGTCTAAAATAATCCATTTTTTATATATATATAAATTTATTTTATTTATTTATTTATTTTTGGCTGTGTTGGGTCTTCGTTGCTGCGTGCGGGATTTCTCTAGTTGCGGTGAGCGGGGGCTACTCTTTGCTGCAGTGCGCGGGCTTCTCACTGCGGTGGCTTCTCTCGTTGCGGAGCACGGGCTCTAGGTACGTGGGCTTCATTAGCTGTGGCATGCGGGCTCAGTAGTTGTGGCTCGCGGGCTCTAGAGCACAGGCTCAGTAGTTGTGGTACACGGGCTTAGCTGTTCCGCGGCATGTGGGATCTTCCCGGACCAGGGCTCGAACCCATGTCCCCTGCATTGGCAGGCGGATTCTCAACCACTGCGCCACCAGGGAAACCCCACAACTATGGTTTTTAAAACGGTAAGCTCCTGTGACAAAATAACACTAGAAATGACCAGGATCCTATAAGAACCGAATTAAGTAAAAAATCTGACGGAAAGTCACAGTAGATAAATGCCAATGATGAAAACAATCAACATAACCTGAAATCACTCAAAGAGTTAAAGCATGTAAAGGCGAAATTATTTTGGGAATTTAGTTTACGAGGGATGTCTTCATTTCAAGGATTCCTTAGTTTTGCTATGCGTTTAGAAAGAGTTCAGCTTCTGTTGATGAACTCAAAGAATCCCATTTCCGGGTGAGAGGGAGACACAAGAGGGAGGAGATATGGGGATATATGTATACGTATAGCTGATTCACTTTGTTATAAAGCAGAAACTAACACACTATTGTAAAGCAATTATACTCCAATAAAGATGTTATAAAGAAAATAAAAGAATCCCATTTCCAGTGTGTAACATCTATGTGCCTAATTTATATAAATCCAGGGTGTGCCAGCCTGCTTAGTCACAGTTTCCAAGTACATGACAACAGTAAAGACCTGATGGCAGTGAGAAAGGAATATGGTACCAGCTTCAGATTATAACTTAAAAAACCTATTTTAAAATGCATTCTGGGGGTTTCCCTGGTGGCGCAGTAGTTAAGAATCCGCCTGCCAATGCAGGGGACACGGGTTCGAGCCCCGGTCTGGGAAGATCCCACATGCCGCGGAGCAACTAAGTCCCTGCGCCACAACTACTGAGCCCGTGCTCTAGAGCCTGCGAGCCACAACTACTGAGCCCATGTGCCACAACTACTGAAGCCCGCACGCCTAGAGCCCGAGCTCCGCAAAGAGAAGCCACGGCGAGAAGCCCGTGCACCGCAACGATGAGTAGACCCCGCTCGCCACAACTAGAGAAAGCCTGCACAGCAACAGACCCAATGCAGCCAAAAATAAATTAATAAAAAAATTAAAACAAAAACAAAAAGAATCACCTTGGAACATACCAAAGCAGTTAACAATGACAACATGTATGAACTCTGGTAAAAATAAGTGTTAATAGTTCAATCGCAAAATAACATCGTAGCTGGATTCTGGGTATTTCCTCAGGATACACACCAATGGTGGGGTGGGTTTACTCGACTTTTTTCCCTTAATTTACCAGTAGCATTTTCTCCTTAAAACTTTCTCCTCCCTTGGTTTCCATGACACCATTCTCTCCAGTTTCCCTCTCTGCTTACTAGGTCCCCGTTTCCTTCACAGGACCTTTGGTCTGCCCTTAAATGTTGACATTCCATTAGGAAGCCCCCTCAAAAAGCCTCTCCCTACTCAGTATCATCCACACAATTCACTAATCGACTCCCCGTTCTTAACTCTAAGTTGTAGACTTGAATTTTCAATCAATAACTTATTAGGTTTAATCTGAAGCAGTATCCATTCTACACACACCTGCTCCTTGCACGATTCCATACTACGGGGAGAGTCTCAAAGGTGGACTTTCCAAAAGTAACCACAATCACCTAGAACTTTAGGACACATCGGGAAAGGGGGGAGCGGGTGGAGGAAAGGACACAAAGACGATTCTTAAGCCTTGATTCTGTGTCCTTCTGCAGGTTCTGGTTCCAAAGTCCTCAATTCATCACCTGGGTCTGGACCGGGAGGCATTAAAATATGTCATCGTGGGTGATGTCTGCCATGATACGATTTAACTGGGACAGAGGCTGAGACACTCAGAGCCTCGGGAACTTCCTTGTCTCAGAGTACACCCAAACCCCAAAATCTGTGTTGACTGCTGTGAAAATCTGGTCATTACACCCAACGCAATACGGATTATGATATATTCAATCCGAAACAAATGCACATCAGGCAGAATTCCGAGATCTGCAGGTCTCATCGGTTTTTATGAGTACAGAGTTTAGTTCCTCAAAAGGGAACCGAGGGAAAGAAAGAATCAAGAATCTTTTAAGGGAAACCGAGATTTAACAGGACTGGAAAGAGCTCGCCTGGTTCAGAGCCTCCGGGATTGGAAGAATGGAGGCTGGGGAGTCTTTGCTCGAGAGGGACGAGGCCCAGAAGAGATTCGCCCGCCCGCGCTCCCCTCGGGGGCTCAGCCGGCCTCCCACCCTTGGCTGGAAGCTTGGACACCGCGGTTTCCAGGGGCTCCGAGGGGAGGGGCGCCAGGGCCACACGCCTGAAACCCACGTCTCCCTCCCTGGGTCCCACTACGGACCCCTGGGACCCTCCCCACTCACCTGCGCCCCCTATCAGCGGTCATCAGCCCCTTTTGCTGGAGGGCTGACCGGGGGCCTGCGCTCGGCGCCGCCATTTCCCGGGCTGTGCGCGCACCGCCCACGACCCAAACAAACCGCGAGCCCTCTGGTCCACCGCATCCCTCCCCCGTCCGCCGGCGCGCAAAGCGCCTGCGCGCTGCTATCCCAGCTCCGCCCCCACGCGAGGCCGGCCGCGCCGTCGCCGGAGCGCGCGCAGGCGCAAAACCCACGCGGCGGACTCGCTGTCCAATGGGATGAGCGAGCGCGCTCGGCGGAAGGGGAAGCGAGGAGCCGCCCCGCCCTACTTGGCCATCCGATTGGTCGTCGGTTCCCGCGGAAATCACAGCTCCCTCCCCGGAACCGCCCACCTCGCCTCACCCGCCTGTCGCAAGAACTGTATGGAGATGGGTGTGGCCGGACTTTTCACTTTATTAAAGTTAACTGTTGGGACCAGGGTAAGGAGGACAAGGACAGCACTAGAAGGCGCTAGACAGATACCCGCGCAAAGAATGAGCGTGGGTTAGCGATGGTTGGCTCAAACCTGCATCACAGGCACAGCACATGATTAGAGAAGCTGGTGTTCTGTTTGGATCTGAGGAAGCAGGGCAGGGGGTCCTCGGGTAAAACCCAGCGGGGGCAGGCGCAGGGGTGAGGCTGAAGCTATTGCAGACAGTGCAGGTGTTTCCAGTGCTTCATAACAGACGATGCAAGAGGGATCCTTAGATGCTCCACCACCCCTCGCCAAGGACCTCGGGTTTTCTCTATTCTGACCATCATATCCACCCATCCTCAGAATCAGATGTCCCTACCCCTGGGGCAGTTTACTCCACTGCTTCTAGATAGGATGGGACCCTGCACTGGGGACTGCTGTCTAGCCCCCCAGGGCAGGAATTTCCCATCTGGAGCAGGGGCCATCACAGTTTTGATCAGCTCTGCTCCTCTAGGAGGCTGGGCACACTCCTGGTCCCACTCAGCACTCCCTGTCTGCAGACAACAGCTGGTCCCCCATTCTGTCTACACGAAGTCTTCTACCCCTCACCAGCCATTGACCAAGACAGAAATTGAGAGATGTGTGCATGAACTGGCTTCTGTTGCCTTGTATTGAAAACACAAGGGCTATGGGATCAGAAGAGCAGAATTCAAGACATTTGTGTGTTATTTACTAGCAGTGTGCCCCTGTGCAAATTATCAATTTTTTCTGACCCTTAGGATCCTCGTTTTTCAAATGAGGACAATAATACCTCATTTTTGTGATCTAATAGAGGCAAAGCACCTGGAAGAGAAGCAACAGAGCTGTCACTCAGATATTGTTTCTTTTCTTCCTTCACTAGATTCTCTGGAATCTCCTCATCTCACCCTCAGTCTAACTCTGGAAATACCAGGTATGGGGTAGGTCACTGAATATTGCCTGAAGACTCAAATTGTGCCGCCTACATCCCTGGGGTGTGCCACTGTAAAACTGGGAAGGGCTCACCATAGCCTCACTCCCCTCTGGGTTAAAGTCATCATTTGTGACATCCAGGTGGAGACGCAGTTCCTGACACATAACAGGCACTGGGAAGCATTGTTCGAATGAATGAGTGGGTCTGGTGCAGAAAGACGACATATCCTGGGAAAGTCCTTTAGGGGGGTGTCCAGTTGTTTCCATAGAAAACATCATCATCGAGGTGACCAAAGCTGACATCGTAGGCAGGGGGTGGAGTAAGAGGTTCCAATTTGGGGGGCGCCCACAAGCTCTGCAGATCAGGAACAGTGGACGCAACTCGTGGTCCCCGAAGCCGCAGGCTGACTGGAGGTCTTCCAGGGCTTCCTGAGATCACAGACCCCTCTGAGCCCACTCGCCTGTCCAGTCTGGCTCTCCTGGGCTCCTCTGGATGGCTAGGCTGTCTCACCTCAAGTTCTGGGGGGATTACAACACTGGTGTAGGAGGGTGGTTGATCCACCCCTGGGGGGTGGCACTGTGATTCCAACACTGTGGCCTCTTCGTAGGTTGGCACCTCAAAGGCTTCATTGTCCCTGAAGGGGGGGGGGAGAAATAAGGTCATTAGTGGCTTCCTGAAAGAAGCCTTTTTTCCCTTTTCTATCTTCTACCAGCAAAAGACCCCTCCACTAGCCCCTGACCCTGATACCAGTGACAGGGGGAAAGCAGAGGCTGTCCGCCTAAAGTCTAGAGGGACATAGGGAGAATGGGTCCACATGTAATCCTCCAATCCTGCCCACCCCTTAACTCACCGTGCATTGCTTGAGGCCCCTGGGCTCTCGGTCTGCACTGATCGAGACCCCCATTCCAAAACACAGGCCAGGAGGCAGGCCAACAAAAAGAAGCCACCCAAGGTGAGAAAGAAATAAGCAACAGGGGCGATGTCCGGCCGTATCCCCAGCAAAGCCAGCCCCAGGAGGAAGGAGGTGCAACACAGGAAGAGAAGCGGCTTCTCCAGAGTCCCCCACAATTGGCTTGGCACCATGGCCCCTCCCCAGGCTCCTGCAAAAAGACACACAGCTGTTGTGTCTAAACTAGCAATTGGCATCACCGCTAGGTTAGATTTCAAAGTAAGCATATTAGACACCTTTGTTTGGGTTTGTTTCTTCTACCTCAAATCAAATAAATGGCCCAAAGAAGTGATCTGCAGGGTCCCCTTCAGCTCTGGGATTCTCTCTAGGATCACACTGTTGTCCCAGGGTATCAGTATGTGTGGAATAGCCAGGAACCAGCCCGGAAGTTCTGACTCCCAGCCCTCATGTGAGTTTACTATGTCAGAGCCCTACATTCCTTACTTTTAACTTCTTCCCTATGGCCTCCCTTCCGTCTCTGTATTTCTACCCATTCCAGGATCCAGTCCTAGGCAGGCCCTGCCTGGGGCCTCAGGACTCATGGCATCTCTGGAATCCAGGTGATAGGCGGGCCCCGCCCTTTATTATTGCTTGCAACGAACGTCCACCCCCCACCTGCCCAGTCTGAGTCCCTCAGTCTGACCTTGTAGGGCACCGCTTACCCTGTTTGACCCCGTCTTCCCATTTGCTCCCGTCAGCCCCACGCTCCAGTTGGAGGGAGAAAGTGCACATAGACACAACAAAGCCACAGGACACAACTACCTGAGAATCTTACAGACAGAGGTCTAAGGCGATAGAGGTCTAGGGCAATGGACAGAGGCCCAGATGATTCTTGACCTCTCCGTGCCCCATGGCTGTCACGGTCCCCCGCCCTCTACCGGCCCTCACTCGGTAAACTCAGATTTCAAGTTTCCTGCCTGGAGTTATTAGCACAGGGGCTGGGAGGCTGGTGGGGAGAAGCCTTTTCATTCCCCTGCAACACAGCAGGAGCACCTAGACAGCCACTACCCCCAGCCAGCCTGTCAGGAGTTCCCTGAGCTCTGCAGAGGAAGGAGTCACCGATTCTACAAAGGGGCCAGACCGCCTCCTTACATGCCAGCCCCAAAGCCACGACCCTCCTGCCCCTCTTACCAGCGTTAGGAGTTCCTCCCTCACCTGTCTCACCAGACTGCAAGGTGGGTAGGTTGTACGGGGGCGTGGGAGGAGGCGGGATGGCGCCCACTGGTTCCACCCACTTTTCTGCCCCAATCCTGCGCGAGATTCCTCCTCCCCTTTTCTGCTGAAGGCTGAACTCCTATTACTGCCCCACCTTGATTTTTCTGCCTCGTATTTACTCCACCCATCCCCTACAGCGCCCTAAAGAGAGTACTACCCAAACTCACCCCCAGTGATGTTTGTACTTCGGACCAGAGTGAAATTCACATTTCTTCTCCCTTCTTCTCAATGCGCTTGGTATTCCGAGCAGTTTGCATTATATTTAGGTAATACGTTTTGTGCCTGGGAGCAGAGGCCACGGTTTATTTGATCTCTGCGGATCACGCAGTGCTTTGCACACTGTGAGCACTACCGTGGACATGGACTGATGTGTCCTACTTCTGCTGCCAAAGTACCATTTCTGTAAGTTCCTTGTTTTCTGCAGACCTGTAAGACGTGTTGTGTATGCTTCTTGGCCCAGTTAACTCTTGATTCTTCACAGGCCACCTCCGAGGTGACGCCTGCTGCAGAGACTGTCTCCACTGCGTCTGCACGGCGTTCCTTCCTCCCCTGCCCACACCTTTTCCTGCTATATAGTGACGTTCTGTTTACATACCTTCCTTCTGAAACTGAGCAGGACCCTGAGGAGCCCTCCTGGGTACAAAAGCCTTTCTGGGTCCCCTGTTTCTTGTTGGTAGGAAAAAGCCTTTAGCCTCCGAGACTTTCCCTGAGTTTCAAAGGGCAGATTTAAACAGTTTCTAATTACGGAAGGAAGGCAATGTAGACACCGTGGAGGAGCAGTCAGGAAACAATAGTTCTGCGATAAAGCCAAGTCCCGGTTCCTCCTCAAGGGATATAGTGACAACACACCCTTGAGTTCTTCTACGGGAGCTAAGGCCTCCTCCCAGGTGGAGGATGGTAACTTCAGGCTGTGCACAGAATTCCTGGAGCACCGCCCTGTTACCTTACCACCAACCAATCAGAGGAAGGTCGCACACCTCACAGCCCTCACCTCATATTTTGCCTTTGAAAACTCTTCCCCCAAACCATCGGGGAGTTCAGGTCTTTTGAGCAAGTGCTGCTCTTTCTTCTTGCACAGCCCTGGCAATAACTTTTCTCTGCCCCAAACGCTGACGTTTGGGCTTCTTGGGCCTCACTGTGGAGCAGACAAGCGAACCTGTGTTGGGCAACACTTCTGTTGTGAGCTTCTCAAGGTGAGTGACTAGTGTCAACCATCCTGAATCTTTGAAGCTAACACAGTTCCTGACACGTGGTAGGTGCTCACTGAACACAGCTGAGTGCTCTCATTGGAAGGCTCCCGTTCCACCTGGGCTCACCACACACCGGAGATCTGGAACCCACTCTTTTCAGTTATGGATCTAGTCGTAAGTCTGGGTGAGGCAGGTGCTGGAGGCGTACTTTGTTCTTGAGACGGGGCTGGACTCTGTGCCTTCCGAATGTTACTAGTGGACAAACCGAAGGGGTAGCAGTCCTGGGGCACAGCCAGGGCTACTGCAGCGGGGGATGTGTGGAGCTGGGGGGTGCGGAAGAGAGAGGAGGAGAACAGAAATGACATGGATGAGTGAGTGTGCCTGGGGTTGTGTGTGTAAGTAGTGGTGGGGTGTCAGTGTCGATTCTCTGCCCCAGACTGACAACGGAGAGGGAGGTGATCGACGTAACAGGAAGGCTATGATAGTCTAAATGAGCCGTGTCTCTCTAGGAAGTGGGAATGCAGGGTGGGAGTGTAACAGGGAAGAGAGCCAATTTTGACTCAGTGTGGGATCTGTTTCTTTGACTTTAGCCTTTCTCATTGCTTTTGTTATTATAGTCATACATAATGGCCTGCCTCTGGGAACCCTACCCACCTGTGAATGGCTGCAAGAGAGAAGAAATTAACACATCCCCTCCCCGAGGCTGGCCATTCCAAGCGATGTTTTGCGAGACAGATAGTCCTTTTTACTTTACTTCCTCCCCGCCTCTCTCTCTCTATTCTACCTTTTTACTTTACTTCCCTCTCTGATTCTATAAAAGAAACTGGCATCCAGACCCCAATAAGATGTTTTTTGGGGGGACCCTAGTCCGCCATCTTCTCGGTCTACCGGCTTTCCGAATAAAGTCGTGTTCCTTGCCTCAACACCTTGCCCCCCGATTTGTTTGCCCATCGTGTGGCGAGCACAGGGAGCTTGGACTCAGTAAGAGGAGGAGAGCTGGTTGTTATGAAACCGGAGGGAAGGGGTCAGGGCACAACCTTTGAAAGCATGACATAGCCCGAGGACATGACATAGACTGATTAGAACCAAATGGGTCCAAGATGGCGGACAAAACTTCCACTAGACCTGAGCCTCACAATACACTCACTGTAACACATCAGCAAGTTAAATGACGCCACCCACAGGCGCCATGACAGTTCCGAGACCCACCGTCAGGATCAAAAAGTGGGCGGTGGCCCAATTCCTGGAAATCCCCGCCCCTTCCCAAAATAGCTGGAATACTCCTCCCACTCATTAGCCTAGGAAATTATCCACCCCTACAAAAACTGACAACCCCATACCCTGGTGCCTTTCTCACCTTCTGAGGTGGTCCACAGTCTATGGAGTGTGTTTCTCTCTAAATAAATCCGCTTCTTATCTATCCGTTTGTCTCTCACTGAATTCTTTCTGCGATGAGACATCAAGAACGGAGCTTCATTAAGTCCCGAAACCAGGTGTGTGATCTCAGTTGGAAGACTGTGGGTTCTGGCCTGGTTTGAGTCCCAGCTGCATGGGTTCGAGTCCCAGTCTGAGGGGCATGGTTTCAGTTACAGCTGGCCCTTTAAATCTGTGGGTTCCGCATTGACTTACATTAATCCCACCTCACATAGAAAATATTCATAAAAAAAAATCTAGAAAGTTCCAACAAGCGAAACTTGAATTTGCTGAGTGCTGGCAACTGTTTATATAACATTTACATTGTATTTACAGCTATTACAAATCATTTACATTGTTGGGTATTATAAGTAACATACAGATGGTTTTTTTTTTTATTAATTAATTAATTAATTTTTTCTGTGTTGGGTCTTCGTTTCTGTGCAAGGGCTTTCTCTAGTTGTGGCAAGAGGGGACCACTCTTCATCGCGGTGCGCGGGCCTCTCACTATCGCGGCCTCTCTTGTTGCAGAGCACAGGCTCCAGACGTGCAGGCTCAGTAGTTGTGGCTCACGGGCCTAGTTGCTCCGCGGCATGTGGGATCCTCCCAGACCAGGGCTCGAACCCGTGTCCCCTGCATTGGCAGGCAGACACTCAACCATTGCGCCACCAGGGGAGCCCCACAGAGATGGTTTTAAAGTGTACAGGAGGATGTGCTGAGTTCTATGCAAATACTACACCATTTTATATAAGGGATTTGAGCATCCCCAGATTTTGAGCATTTGTAGGATTTCACTCCAGTGTGTACTCTATGATATCCAATGAGATGCGAGCTTTGAATGAAGGCTTTTCCACATTCATCGCATTTGGGGGTCCTGGAACCAATCCCCTACCAATACTGAGGGATGACTATCTTGTTTCCACCAATTTTCTTACTATTCAGCTCATAAGGAGAAAGTATGGCTGGGATCAGAAGGACCTACAGTGAATATATTAATAGAAGGAAATTGGCCAAGAGTCACTGGTATGCAATGATAACTAAGAAGGTTTAGTTAAGGAGTGAGCTCTGGGGGGTCTGGGGAGTGTCGCCTGAGAGGTAAGAGGGCCAAAGGGTGAAGGCCTGAAAGTCTACAGTGTGAAAAGTCATGCAGCCTGGGTGAGGTGGGACCTTTGTAGCTTAAGGCTTTTGGTTGCTAGAAGGAGCCTGCGCTAGAGAGATTTGTTAAGTAAGAACTGGATCCAAGTCATAGGGGCTGGACTGCTGTCTGGCTGTGCCCTACAATATATTCTCTATTTCAATAATTTTAAATAGATTTTCTAAAAATTCCATTTTTTAAAAAATAGAAAATGTTACAAAATATTTAAACGCTAAAGAAAAAATTGTCCACAATCTCATTACCCTAACGTGGCCACTTAAAATTTCTATACATTTCTTCCAGTCTGTTCACACACAAACCAGAATATACTCTAGTTGAGATCAGAGTATGTTCACCATTTTGTTATCTTTAAAAAAACTTAAAACATTGTAACAGAATTGCCTTTTGATATAGTTTTTATTGTAGTAATTTCTAACAGCCAATAAGATAATATTTTATTGAATGGATATACCATAATTTAACAGACCTTTATATTATGTTATTCAATAACATTGAGTTTATTTTATTCAATTTTTCTTTTTTTTTCCTCTTGGTCATCAAAAATAATGCTTTAAGAGACAAAAAAGTAGATTAGTGGTTGCTAAGGGCTGGAGAGAGGGAGGAATAGGAAGTAACTGTGAATGGATTTATTGCTTTGGGTTAATGAAAATGTTTTCTAATTAGGTAGTAGTGATGCTTGTACAACTCTGTGAATATACCAAAAAAACCCCACAACCCATTGAATTTTACACTTTAAAGGGGTGAACTGTACCTCTATAAAGCTGTTTAAAAAATATAATTCTGAAAAAAGAAAAAAAAACCCACAACAAAAAATATAATTCTGGGCTTCCCTGGTGGCACAGTGGTTAAGAATCCACCTACCAATGCAGGGGACACGGGTTCGAGCCCTGGTCTGGGAAGATCCCACGTGCTGTGGAGCAACTAAGCCCATGAGCCACAACTACTGAAGCCTGTGTGCCACAACTACTGAGCCCACGTGCCTAGAGCTCGTGGTGCTCCACAATAAGAGGAGCCACCACAGTGAGAAGCCCGCACACCACAATGGAAGAGTAGCCCCCACTCGCCACAACTAGAGAAAAGCCCGTGCGCAGCAACGAAGACCCAACGCAGCCAAAAAAAAAAAAAAAATATATATATATATATATATATATATATATATATATAATTCTATCTTCTTGGGTGTAGTTTTTCCTTCTTTTGGGGTTATTTCCTCCAGCTGAATTCTAAAGAATGTCATTATTGAGATAAGCATGGTGAAAGTTTTTATTGCCCTGAATGCATGTGGCCAAACTCCTTCCCAAAGTTTTTACTTTCCTTTTTTCTTTATCAACTTAGTATCCTTAGCAGAATATGAATTCACCACTTAATTCAATTGTCTTTCCGCTTTCTACTTGCCAGCTTCCCACAAAGCACCTGGCTAGAGGTTGGAACTCTCCTCTTGGCTGGTCTACCATGCTGCCTCATTTTGGAGGATAATGGTGCAGGGAAGTGGGTGGTCAGGGGAAAAGGGAGAAGTGCAGGTAATCCACAGACTTCCTGGGAAGGGTCACGGGTGTCTACCGCTGTGTGCTTCTGTGTCTCCAGATTTCTGTGGTTTTGTGTTTCTGAATCTGGATCTGTTTTATACTTACAGCCAACATGTGTGGAGTGTTTTGTACGTACTGCTCATTGTGCTAAATGCTTTACACAAATTAGGTAACTTAAAATATAATGTAATAAGGGGTAGTTATTATATCATTTTGTAGGTGAGGTCAGAGACTTGAGAAAAATACATAGCTAATCGAGGGTGGGTCAAGATTTGAACCCACAGTCCC